CAAGAATACTGTGTTACGTATTGTATTAGAAAGCAAGTGCTTGCTAGCAAGTTCATTATAAAAGTTTGACAACAGATAATAGCATTTTATCGCCAATTTGGAGCATAAAATAAGGATTATATGCATGCTTACAGAAATATCATTGAGACAAGAAAGAAATGATAATCGCTTATAAATTATTCAATAAGCCACATAATTTAGTAATGTTTTTGGAAATAAGGGAAATGTTTATCAATTAAAGGTTAATGAGAAGATTGTGGTGAAATACCATTTCGAAATAGTTTAATGCTCACTCAGGTGCTTTGTTGGAGTCATTTGGCTCAGTAAGTACATACTCGGGAGGAAGGGAGGTGTTGCAATAACTGTTTTCTGGATGTGTCATCTCGGAGGCAGTCGAAGCGCAAATTTCTATACCTGGCTTGCAGATAGAATGGCTCAGAGAGTCCAATAAATGATGTGGTGCTATTCTAGAGGTGGCAGCAGCTGTGGTGTCCGAAGAGGATTTAGTAAACTGTTTTGTAGCATTGAGATTCTAATAAGAAGTCGAATATGGGATTAAAACATTAGAGAAGTATATGGTTTCTTAATAAAACAAATAAAGCTTTCTCAAAATGATCAGGTATCATGTGTATAATGGTGGTAAAGAATTATGGATATATTTAAATTATAAAAAAAGAGATGATAGACAAATTATCCGATTGGTCAATTACTATGGTCAAAAAGCAAACAATATCAGCCAATGACCAATTTAACAACAACATTAAATATCAGCTCATTTGTTGCTACGTTCATTATTAGGGCAAAGTAATAAAAATGAAGGTCCCCCTAACAAAGTAATATAAGTCTTCCCCTCATACTCAAAAGCAACGCATGTAAATGGATGTTGAACAAAATTAATGTATGAATCACTTAGTTCAAGTCGATCAAACTGTAGATAAGCATATAATATTAATGAGGCTAAAATAAATATGGAATCCTGTTTCAGTATACTAAATGAAGCTAATGGCAAATGGTAACTTTATGCAAAGACAATCGTTGTGATAAGTAGAATGGAAGGTTTGCCTTTGTAGTCGAATTTGCCTGTTAAAGAAATTCGATAAATGAGATCATATATTGAGATAATTGCAGTTCCAATCTATCCTAAGCCAAGCCCATTGTTGATAAAGGGTGCGATCAAAATTGTAATCAATCTTAGGTAAAAAAATCAAGTTTTAACAGATAAGGCGATAAATATTGATATAGACTTCAATTTAACCTGGTAGAATCAAATGTGAATATCTAAGAGACCAATCTACAAAACACAAATCTTAAGGCTTTCTTAATCAAGGTGGACTGTCATTTCGAAATTCTCAAGGTC